TTTTTTTTTTTTTGCTATTTCATATATCTATCCATCTATCAATACATCTTTGTTTTTTCTTTGTGATAAAATTGGAACTAAATAAATAAGTATTGAGTCAGTGCTGTTTGTGTTGGATTTTCAGATGCCACTATCCTAACAAGTTTAGTTTTTTATTTTCTTAAAGTACCAAATTTAAAAGTATACTTCACTCTGGGTCTCAGGTTATTTTTGTTTTCGTGAATTTTAGGTTCTTTATTCTCATGAAAAGGTGAAAATGGAAGGAACGATTTCTCAACAAACCAAACTCATCGATTTTCTGCAAGCCAAAATGGACCAACCTGCTAAAAAGAAAAAGGTGAGTCAAAGTGTTTGAAAAGTGGGAGTAGACAGTTTCACTCCACCATTCATGATTCAGTGGACAGCACAGTGACAGGAAGTCATAGAAACACAGAAAAAAACAAAATGCATGTTTTCTTGTTTTATTTTTGGTTGAAAAAGGTTTTGAGATAAGCAGAAGAGCCCTTTTATGAGTATATCATTGATCAAGTCTGACAAACTACTTTATGTTCATGCCCATTAAAACTGTAGTGTTTTAAGGACTCCCTTTCTATGTTAAGGGAGTCATCCCTGCCCTTCCCACCCCCTGCCACCGCCACATAGCACGGATGGTATGCAGAGAGAAAGGTTTATACATAGTCATGCATACAGGACTCCAAGGGGGTTTGAAGGTCATGTGTGCAGGGCTTTAGAGAGATTAGCAGGTCACATGCACAGGACTGTAGAGGGCTTAGTAGGTGACATGTATGGGGCTTCAGAGGGAATGGCAGATCATACATAGGAGACTGTAGAGGATTTCTCAGGTCACTCATACAGGACTCCAGAGAGAACCTTAGAAATGATCTGGTCCAGTCCTTTTGATTGGCCAACAAAGAGACTAGAACCCAGCGAGTCTAAGTGACCTGCCTAAGGTTCTTGAGTGTATACTCTACTCCTCCACAAAGCACTGCAACATCCCTTTGAAATAGTAACAAACAAACAATACTATGGACAAAAACCAAACTATATGGAGGGGGTTATATGTAGGTGTGCAGGGGGAGATTGCTTTTAATAAGCTTGATCCATGCTTTTTTAAACCACAGAAGCCCTCATAGTAGGGTTGGCCATGTGTTCTCAGTTCCGGAAAGGTTTCTAAGGAGCTTGCAGTTTCCTTCCAAAGGCCACCGTGCACCGTGGTGGCTGTGGCAGTAGTTTTACAGGAAAGGCCTTGATGCCTTGGGATACCTAGGAGAAAGGAGTGAAGGACTGAATTGACAGTTGGTCTCAATATTCCCGGTGCCACCTTTACTGTCAGGGATAAGAGCAGCATTCAGAGGCGCCTCCTGCTAAGCGGTGGCTGCATGGGGAGGGTTTTCTTGCATACCGTGTGACTGTGTATCTTTGTTATGCTTATGATATTTAATCTTTTTTATTTTAGCAGCAGACTGTTATCTGGTTATGCCACTTGATATAGTTAGGGTGTTTCCATTTATTAAAAAAATTTTTTTCCAGTTACATTATTCTGTGTTTTCCTTTTTTCTTCCATGCACAGTAAATGTTTCCATTTGCATTTTTTTGGCATGCCCTTTGTTTTGACATCATTTTAGCATTTTTTTTTTTGCTTCCTTTTTAAAAATATTCATCTCTGTGTCTTGTAACTAAGCCTCATGAGACAAACTCAAGGGCAAGAATGACCACTGAACCATCTTTCCTGACTCCATACTCCATACTCTCCTGATTCCATTTTTTGAGGGGAAGGATTCTCAGGAAGTGACGCTCCTGTCTGGGGAATGCTAAAGGAAGAGGTGGTGGCAATTCAAGCATCTTTAACCCTCTTGGTGAAAACTTCCACACCCCTATCTTTTTTCAGCCGGCTGGAATGGGCTGTGGTTCAGCCCCTCTTTCCCCCCTTCACATGCCATTTTTACTAAATACACTTACAGTGAGTATGCTCCTGGCTTTTGTGGTTTGCCCATCCTGAGTCAGGTTTCCTTTAGCTAGTTTACAGTGCCAGTTTCCAGGAGTTAGGAGATATCTCTGTTTCCATTGCTAGGGTTTATTTAGTCGACGGAAAGAGGACCCTGCTTTGCCCACACAGGTTCCTCTGCAGTACAATGAGCTGAAGCTGGCCCTGGAGAAGGAGAAAGCTCGCTGTGCAGAGCTAGAGGAAGCTCTTCAGAAGACTCGCATCGAGCTCCGGTCCGCCCGCGAGGAAGGTAGGGGCTCTCTCTACAGTGTTCAGGGCTGTGCAAAAGGCAGAGGACCCATCTCAGTGAGACTGGCCAAGACTAGTTCAGCATTTTTGTTTATGGCCCATATGCTTTTGATACAGACACTCGAAGTCTGAAAAATTTACCACATCCTTGGCCTTGCCAAGTTGAC